TCAGATGATGTTGTCGGTTTCGGTTACGACCTCAACGGTCCACCGTGCCTTCGTGGACAACCCATTTCGTTCCAGGGTGACGGACTCTTCATCCTCCTTCGCTAAGAGGTACTTGTCGTGGTGGCTGTGGAGGTGCACCGCCTTGGCCTTGTGGAAGAAGTCCATTCCAATTCGGAACTTGTTGGATTTCATCTCTCCATCAGATCCACGTACAGTGACACGGTATACCACAGTCACACTTCCATTGTTAGAAATATAACATCACAAATATCTCCACACCATCCAAGAGCGTAGAAGCTCAACATCCGGTTCGCATGGTACCAGGGGATGAAGGTGGAGGAGGGATTTTCAGGTGGCGTCTGGATGATGTTGTCAGGGATTCTCTTATTGAGGTCTCTGAGGATTTCAGCGAGAGGGCGAGTGATGCAGGACGAGTTGGTATACGAAAACGATTTGTCAAGGGGCACCAAATAATTCGAACTGGGCACTCCCTTCTTTCCGCCGCCATCACCACCGGTGCTGCTTCTCCATGCGATCATACAAACCCTTCCTCCCCCTCCCGTTTTCCTCCGACCATTCGGGCTCAGAGTCGAACGGAAGCGGCCCTAGATGGAACCGACAAAGATGTCGAGAGCAGGGCATTGCTGCTGATACTGGTCTGTAAAGCCATTGTTTTTCAGTCCACGATCCTCCAGACCCCAAGTCTCTCTCTCTCCTCTGAAACTTTCTCGCTCTAGAATCCAGAAGTCGTAGGGGTGGGGACTGGTGATGGGAAGACGATTGATTGCTCGTCCAAGTTGAAAAAGGCAACTACGCACCAGGCGATTTTTGGGGAGGGAGGGAAAGAAATGAGAGAGAGAGGTGAGAGAGAGAGAAGTTATGGGATTTTGTCTTGCAGTTGCAGAGAAAGAGACTGAGTGAGAAAGGATGTGGCTCTGTGGGTTTTCTAGGAAAGCTTTGGGTTGTTGGGTTTTTGTAGATTTTGCAGTTTCACAGTGGAGGTGAAAAAATGAAAGAGAATCGACTTAGTTTTTCGTGTCGATTCCCACAGACGGCACCAAATGTTGATGCACAAAACCAGAGGGGTCTTGGAACAACGTAAATTCGACCGTGAATCAGCAAGAAAGTAAAGAACACAAGATGTATCGTGGTTCACCCCAACGTTTGGGCTACGTCCACACTGATGTTGATATTGTTTCACTCTGATTGGTGAATATACAAGAAGGCTAGAGGCAGTGTGCTCTCTAGCCTATTTTCTGTGTGCTCTCTTCCCATGCCTAAAGGACTCCTCAATGTATTGTTTGGTCATTAAAAAAAAGAACTTGGCCCCCTTAATGAGGAGAGTGAGGAGTCATTTTATAGAATAAGGGCTCCTTACTTATTACATATTTTCCCCTTCATTTATTACATAATTACATTTGAGTCCCTCGAGTATTTATACGAGATCTAAATACGGAGGCCCTAAGTATGGTACAAACATATATATATATATATATATATATATATATATATCAACTTGGTCCACTCATGTTTGTTTTGCGCCCCCTTCAGGACCTAGAATCGAGGCATACAATCCTAGCATCCAGGTATTTTCGCATCGGCATATTCGAGTCCTCTCGGTGTAGGACCCACTCCTTTGTTCAACCAATTTTTATATTAATTCTTTTAGTGTTCTAGATTAGATGTGTGCGCTGAACACGTTCCTTAAATGCATATTCTTTATTCTTTTACATTTATAAACCTTATCTATTCCTTTGGTTATCAGCATTTGCATTCAATAAATGATTTTCGTCACCTTCGGGTGTCGGCCAACACATGCTTATCTTGGCATTCAGGGAATATTGGGATCAGGGCGTGTCACAAACTTATCACAATTGAAGCATTTTGGTTTCCCTTTGTGTCTGCACTTACCAAAATGGTACTTAAAACACACCTTGGACTAAGGCTTTGTGGTCTCTTGACTCAATGACTGAGATGCATTCATATTCTGATAATTGTTTCCAGGAAATTTCTATGAAACTTTGGTTTTGATTCCCATTTCTTGCCTTTGGGATTCTAGTTTCTCTGAAATCTGGATGAACCAGCATAAGTACCACCACTTTTGTTTTGTTCTTTTGGGTACCGTTTGGTACGTGGGACGGGACGGGACGGAACGGGACGAGTCATTCCGTCCCACGTTTGGTGCGCCTAAAAACTGTGGAACGGGTTGTCCCATGGGACGAAATTTGGCTGATTTTTCGTTCCACCTCTTCCCCCTGGAACGACCCATCTGCATACCAAACGGTACCTTGGATTCATAGAGAGTGGGGCAAAAGATCTTTCAGTTTGATCCACACTGTGTAAATCAAACCTTTGCTCTTGACTTTTTAAAATGGCAACTACCTCATGCAATTCTACGGTCACCAAACAATTTGTATTCTCAATAACTAGACATATAGAATAATAAGGCTTACTATGGCTAATTAAGACCTTATGTACTAATCTCTCATTAGGAAGAACTTCACCAAACATTTTCATTTGATTTATCAAGTCATTTAGCCGAGTAGGATATCCAGACAGAGTTTCATCATCATGCATTCTAGCATATTCGAACTCTCGTCTCAGATTTTGCAATTTTACAGATCTTACTTAATCATCACCGTGATATTCTCCATAAACAAATCTCATGCCATCTTTGCGGATTTAGCATTGGCAATTCGTGGGAAGATCTGATTTGAGACTGCATTCTGAATGATTCCTATAGCCTTTATGTCTTTCATCGACACAGCTGCCATTTTTTCATCTCCATCATCCTTCGATGATCCTTCAACCTTCTTCTTCTTCGAATCAGAGATTTTAACTCCCTTTTCCACCAGATTCCACAACCCGTGCAATTTGAAAATCGTTACCATCTTGATTCTCCAGAACTTATACTTCTCACCGGAGAAATTTGGAGTTCTCACCTCCGAGCCTCCCGATCCAGACATCCTTGGTCCGAATGAGATGAATTCTCTTCTCAGATGGTAATGGGTCTCCGCGCGACTTTCACTGAGCTTTGAGCAAGCTTCAATTCAGCTCAATTGATCGAACCTATCTCTGAGGTCATATTGTGATTCTGAGATTCTTCTGGTACATTGCGGAAGAATGGAAGATGAGATAAGGAAGAAAAGAACGTTAGAAAATGGAAAGCTCACAAAAGGAATGTTAATGCTCTCTGCAGGTCACAGAGAAGCAATCATATTTTTCATTAAGGTTTTCAGTCTCTCATACAGCACACAAAACGTGCAGGAGGAATATAATCGTTAGGACCACATTGGATGCTCTTCTGATTACAAACCAATCTTGACCCTTCATCTAGCTAGTTGGTAGGATTGCAACACATGGCAATTCTTGCCTTACAACCATACAACTTATCACTTGGTATTTTAACGCAAGTGCATACATATATTCATACTAAGATTTATTCCTAATCAGCTATAGACTTATAATTCAACAATTCTTGAAGGGGGCTAAACTTTTGCATAAGCTACTATGGCGAATTGGAAATGGTAATACGATAAAAATTTTGTTGGATAAATGGAGTAAAGGGACAACGGAGTAAGGCGTATGTGGGTCTATGCTAGGGATGGGCAATGGTTATGCGGGCGGGTAACCGCGGTTATTTTACCCATAACCGTTTATGTTCATACCCGCATAACCGTTTACCTGTTGGGTAATTACATAAATGGTTATACCCATAACCATAACCGTTTATAAACGATTATTCATACCCATAACCGTGTACCCATTTACCAATAACCATTTACCCATTTAACCATAACCATAACCATTTACCCGTTTACCTATTTTTTCGCCCGTTTATCCTTTTTTTACCCATTTACCTTTTTTTTCGCCCGTCTACATTATTTTTTTTTAACAATTTGAAAATTACAAAAGAAAAATTTGTCATAATTTTTTTTGATAAAGTGAGAATTTCTTTTGATAAAGTGACATAATTTTGAGTAACTTAAATGATGTCGCGAAATGTACTTGTATACAATATGCCTGCATTATATGAGAAGTTTATATGAATTGAATGGAATTGAATGTCGTCGTTGGGGTAAAATCAAATTTCATATCCGATTTAATTTTTTTAAAATTTTTCATATATTAAATTAAATGGGTAAATGGATACCCGTTATAACCATGAATATTACCCATAACCGATGGATATCCGTTATAACCGCGGATAATACCCATAACCGGCCATTTAAATTTTATGGATAAACGGTTATACCCATAACCGTTTATTTGTCTAAACGGTTACCCATAACCATAACCATCAACTTTAAATGGGCGGGTAACCGTGGTTACCCATATCCATGGGTATTTTGCCCATCCCTAGTCTATGCTGATGACGAGCCCCATGACCCTAATAGCCAAACCCAGCCACGTACGGAAGTTCGCATACGGGTACGCCTCCCAGCCTGCAATATATGACAAGCCCCATAATCCTACTAATAAATGTTTATGTTCATATATGATGGATTTTATTAAGATGATTTTTCACTGAATATGTTGTTCAGGGTCAGAGTTTACCGGATAAGTCTCTTATGTTGTCAGACTGTCTAATAGAATACCCTTGTCTTATAGACGTATTATGAATACTCTTACGTCGTTAGATGATTCGATTAGAGAGAACATTACTCTATATATACCGTGAGAAAGAATTACTTATTCAAAATATGGATCTTAGTCATTGATCATGTTAAATTTTATCAAATGTGTGATTTTACATTTAGACAGTGAATATAAACTATTGATCAGGTTGACTTATATGGTCCACATTCATATATATATATATATATATATATATATATATATATATGAATATAAAATGCTTCTGTATAAGTACGTATACAAATTTGTTTGTGCTTTTTGCTAAACTTTGTATACGTTTTATGTAAAACGCTTCTAGAATGGGTGGTCCAGGTCCATATATCGTCTGAAGAAAAAGCAATCATCAGCTAGAGCTAAGTTTTATGGAGGGACTTGACTACTCATCGGGAATATGGCAATTTGAAGGGTATGGATTTGTGCCAAATGCAACCTCTGGTGCTACAGTTGCACAGCTCCATGGAGCAGCTAAGGGTGCTACGGCTACAATCCTAAGAATATATAACGGCGGCATGAGGTATTATAGTCGAGATTTGGTGGCTACAAATCTTTACGACACGAGATGCAAACTTAACATAATCCATGACGTTGACGGAGGGAGCGTGATTGTTTTCATTGACGGAGTCCAGAAATTTTGGGTGAAGGATCAAGGGCCAGGAGATTTGTTTACTTCAAATGTGGAGTTCATGCTGCACCGGCTAACATAAGCTACTACATGGAATCACGTTGGAAAGACGTCAAAATATATAAAAAGTACTGATGACTATTGTTGAAGTGAAATATATATATATATATATATATATATATATATATATATATATATATATATTTTTTTTTTTTTGGTGAAAGTGAAATATTGTGCTAGCTAGCTTTATATATACACTCTGTATATATTTTCTGCAATGGACAAATTTGATGTATATTTGTGTTCCATCTACAACCAACTGCATGAGATGTTTCCATGTCAATGCAATGCAAGCTTCCACAACTTCAAAGTATAACCATGTAACTTAAGATTCGTTTAATGGGTACTGCTTTTGTAAGAAGTATTTCTGGTCATAAGCATTTTTGCGAAAAGTGTTTTTATAGTATAAACATGTCAGAATTTTCATTCAAATCCAAGTACTTCCTAATAGTCGTACATGGTCATAAGTACTTTTAGTTACAGAAGGCACTTCTAATTCTCTATCAGCAATCCCAAATGGCCCTTCATATATCCACTAATTATTTTTAGTTGAGTAATTATTAAAGTTATTGACGAAAAAATATTATTAAAGTTGTCTAGATAATATGAAGAAATTTACATTATTTTTTTTGGCATTTGATTATAAATTTTAAAGGAAATTTACAATTTTCTTTTTCTTTTCATTATGTTGGTAAACGCATGGAGAAATTAGAAGGTGAAATATTTTTACAGTTCGGTCCCCAATCTCCTCCCCTACCACCAAGGTATTAAATATCGATACTATCGGAAATATCGGTAGTCTGAAAACACGGAAATATCGATGGAAATATCGGGATAATATCGATATCGATAAAAATATAGAAACCACGGAAATTGTAAGAAAAACTTGAAAATTTTTATTGAAACTTTGCAGGATGTTTATTTAGTCAATTATCTATTAGTTTATCACAAAAAATTGGAAGGAAATGCATTGCATGATGGATTTAACATTATCAAGTTGATTATATAGCGAGCTGGCAAACATTGTAAGTGTAGAAAATATGTAGTAATAAATGAAAGAAGTTTAAACACACCATAATCATTTATATATAATGAATTAGTACAATATTTTACACTTTATACATTTCATGGTAAAATACATGAGTGACTTAGTACCACATAGAGTTCCTATGAGGTTCAAAATTTTCACTATCTTTATCATCTCTATGTGTATAGTGAGTGTATTATGAAGAGTAGTTATCAAATGATAAATCCCCAAAATAGTTTTGTATGTAATTGTTAACATCCCACTCATATGGATCCGAGATTGGTTGACCTTGTCCATAAGCAAAATCATTTGAAGATTGAGTCTCGGATTGTTTCCATGAGTCACTCGATTCCATCCCAACAGGAATGAGATATGAAGGGTAGGGAAATGGTTGGTTATGAGTATAACCATAGTTACTACTTCCCAATCCAATAGAGTCCGAGTTATAGATAACGAGTCATCTTTTTGACTTGACAAAATCCCATTACCTCTTTCTCTACGAGTATAGTCCTTACCTATGGCACCAATTCCTGGTCCTGCTCGCCTACTGCCATGGTCCTCATCCTGTGTTACATGCGTGAAGTTTGCCTCACCAGTGAAGGGGCTCATAAATCCGGGAGGTGGTTCAACATAGTTTCCATATCCACCACCTTTACCTCCAGCTCCACTATATCCTTCATCATTCCTACCTCCGGTGGTAGGTGAGTCTCCTCCTGATCTTGTACTAAAGCTATCATTAGTATCAGCACAATGTTGTGGTTGTGTAGGATTGGAAGAAGGTGGAATTCAAGTGTTTCTTGGTCTTGGGCGCAAAAGTTCTTCCAAAGAGTCAGCGCTGCTAGATCTCACCTCCTCCGCTAATATTCTTTCTACATTTATCCCTTCATTACGTGCTTCTTCAGCAACTCTAGGAGCTGGGTTGCCTTCATCATCATCTAAATGAAGAGGTCTAATCCATTGATAAAGTTGGTTACCCTCTGTATCATCATCTTCAGCAACAATATCAAACACATCTAGTGGGTCACCACGGTCGACATGATCTATTTCTGCTTCCTTATCTCGAATTTGAAGCTTCATGTTGTAGTAGCAATAAACTAATTTTTCCAACCTACTATGAGCCAACCTATTTCTTTGCTTTGTGTGTATGAGTGCAAATGTGCTCCAATTTCTTTCACAAGTAGATGAGGAAGCTGTTTGTGATAATACTTTGATTGCTAACTTTCTCACAGTTGGTACATCGGTCCCATACATGATCCACCATTTAGTTACAATGAAAAACAATGTTGATAAGCCTAATAACTCCAACAAATTCTATTATAAATTTATCATGAAATATGTTTACATTCACTAGGAGACATTTTTGTTCGAGCAGCAACTGATGTTAGTTCTCCAAAAGTTCTTCTTGCATCTTTAAACCATGTTAGCTGAATTCAATAAATCGTGTTAGTTTAATCCAACAAAGTAATTATTATAATTTAAATAATTGTGTACCTCATTTCCAAATTGGCCAACTGCTGGTGCAGGGTCTAATTTAGAGTATACATTATGTACAACACATATAAGGGTACCATCGTCTCCAATACCGGGTCTGTATTGGTACCGAGGATTCAAACAATATGCTATTCAAAGAAACACATACTCTAATAAGAGAAATAATACTTATGCAACTAAAGAAATGAATTGCAAATTATGACATAATTTATACCTACTGCATGCAAATCGTGGTATAATGTTTTACACCATCGGTCTTCAATTATCTTTATGGCCCACCTTGCACCTTTTTTTTCTTTCCAATTCATCATTCACTAGACGTATCAACTCATATATTACCCCCATAGTAGGATACACTTTTGTGTCAACGATTCGTAAAACTTTGTAAAGAGGTTCAAACACTTGGCACACATGTTCTGATTGAGTCCAAAAAGCATGATCAAGCACTATACTTTCCACCATACGACCTGCATTTGAGCGGCTAAAATTGTGGTTGGCTCAATCGTCACTAGTGAATAGTTGCTTCAACCATGCTTTCTTCTTAAGTAGGATGTCTAATGCAATATAATTGGTGGCGAATCGAGTGGTAGCTGGATGAATAATTTCTCCTTTGCAAAATTCACGCATCTTTGCCAACAACCAACTGTGATTGTAAATATAATTTGTGATCGTTCTAGCTCTTTTTACTACAGTAACAACATTCTCTCTCTTCCCCATTGCCTCAAACATGAGATCAATACAATGTGCCGCACATGATGTCTAAAACACATTATGATGCTTCATTAACTTTTTTCCAGCTTTGACAAATGCAGAATCGTTGTCGGTCACGACTTGGACAATATTATGCTCTCCCACCTCCATGATTACATCCCTCAATAATTTGTAAATATATTTGTAGTTCTTTATATGGTCTGAAGCATCAACAGACTTAAAAAAAATTGTTTTTCCCTTGGAGTATACCATGAAGTTTATGATAGACAATTTGGTCGGGCCAGTCTATCTGTCACACATAATTGTGCAACCATTAGTTTCCCATTTTGACCTCAACTTGTTAACATACTCGCCAATGTCTTTATACTCCATATCCAAATATTTGTTTCTTATCTCATAGGGAGTGGGAGGTTGTACTCCAACACCGGCCTGTTGACATCCCACTACCATATTTTTGAAATGATGTGATGATACTTTCTCAGCAGGGACATTTTCATAGATAAAGAACTTGCTAATTAGACGCCCCATTCCCTCCTTCACATTACCTCCAGTGAAATAACTCCAAACACTCTTTTGACGTGCTTTGGATGACTTATATAAACTTGGGGCTATTGGTGGTGTTGGTTGTGATTCTCTAAGACTGCCTCCCCGTCTCATTTGTGCACTACCACTTGTCCCGGAACCTTGTGCTCTATTAGGAATTTTATGAAGGTGTTCTCTTTCCCATGCTAACTGTTTGGAGGCACGTAATGCTTGTTTCAAACTGCGTCGTTCTTCAGGTCCCATGTCATCATCACATTCGTCCTCATCGTCATCATCATCACTGTCAACCGCTTGGCCAATGACTTCTCCTCGTAGCCCAGCTCGAATATTTTCCATTCCATATGTTATCTTTTCCTTCTGCTATTTTTTATTTTTTAATAATGTGCTGATGAATGTCTTCACTTATGGGGGGACATTATCGCATCGTTGGATATTTTTTGCTGGATCTAATCCACTAAGATGGTACTTAAGTCGTGTCACTCCGCCACTCTTCATTACCCGACCACAATATTTGCAAATTGTGCCATGTTTGTTTTCGTCTATTGGGTCTCCCTGTTCCCAAGCTGAATCATGTTTAGTAACTCCACTGGACATCTTAAACGTACCTATATTTATTTTTCATGAAAATTAGACAATTATTTTTTGGCAAAAAAATATAGTAGTGATGACGGTTATATAAGAGAACCTAAATAATAAAGTTATTCTACAGAAGAATTAAATACGAAGTAAAGAAAATGATTGTAAAAATTTAAGTAATTATAAAAATAATATGGAATAATAAAACCTAATATTAATGAATAATAAGATAAAAAAATAATCCTAATATAAAACATAGTGATGAATAATAATCCAATTTGATAATAATCTAATTTAATAATAATTCAATTTGATAATAAAAAAAAACCTAATATTAATGAATAATAATCCAATTTGATAATAAAACCTAATATTAATAAAATAATAAATAACATTAAACATATTAAAATTATCCTAGGGAATAATTATACAACATTACTTCATTACTTAAAAAAATTAACATGTAATTGTTAACATTACTTAATTACTTACAAGAACTAACATGCAAGTATTAATTACTTAAAAAAATTAACATGTAATTGCTAACATTACTTAATTACTTACAAAAACTAACATGCAAGTATTAATTACTTAAAAAAATTAACATGTAATTGTTAACATTACTTAATTACTTACAAAAACTAACATGCAAATATTAATTACTTAAAAAAATT